GCTCAGGCTGAAAAGTTGAGAAAAACCCTCCCACACGCAGGACGCAGGACGAGGGAAAAACCAAAGGGAACCAGAGTTCAAAAGTGGAAAATGGAGCAGCTGTTGGTAAGCCCCCAGAGGCAGTTTCACCTTGACCCACAAAACTGAAAAGGGGTGTGTCTTCCTGAACAGATAAGGATCAGAAGAACAAAGCATGCTATTAATTAAGTCTTGCCTATTTTAAGTTTATGGACTATTCTTCCCTTAAAGATAAGCTCACAATAAAAGTTCAAAAGGTAAACACAGAAAGGGGGTGGGGGCCAGTCCTGCCTTCTGCTCAGCACCCCCTGCCAGGTGGGTGGTCTGGTCCCAAAGCCAAGTTTCCTCACTTAGGGCCTCTAACAGTCAGACAGCCAGGGGACCAGATCTTCCCAGAGAGTCCAGGAACCAGCCCATGGTGTCTCTCCTTGTCCTGGCCCCCAGTGAGCCACTGGAACTGAACTTCAGGGGAGGGAGAATGGACTTGGCTTTTCTTCACTTCCCCCAGAAGGATATGAGTCACAGGGAAGAAGCCAGGCAGGATTAGAGTTGCCTAGGACATGGACAGAAAAAGCGAGCGCCTTCCCATCTGGGTGACCTTGGGCAAGTCACTTCCCTTCTGCATCTGGGTTGGAATGAGGATTATAAAAAGTAGACTTTGGGAGAATGCCTTCCATGGCCATCGAAAGCGCTCCACATAAGCTAACTGTTATCTCCCAGATTCTTTCCATTGTGTCAAGGGCACAATTTATGGAGTCAGGAACCCCAGAGAGTGTTTATTATCTACTCTAGGTGTCCACTTGGCAAGTCACATCCTCTCTCTGAACCTCAGTTTCCTCATCTGCAAAATGGGGTGACTGTAAAGGTGGAGTGAATTGATGAATGAAAAATATTAACATATACCAACAATACCACATAAATTAAAAAAATCGCTGCTTTATCTTTTCTGTTCTCTCCCCTAGAGCTGGGCAAATTAGGGAAGCAATTAAGAAATATGAAAACCAGAGCTTGCACACTGGATTGTAAATGGCTACTTTACTTGCCAGCTATCCCTTTTGTCCAGAACTTTCTATCATGATGGAAACATACTATGTCTGTACCATCTGGTACAGTAGCCACTAGCCACCCGTGGCTGTGGAACATGTGAAATGTGGCTGGTTTGTTTGGAGAACTATACATTTATCTAGTGTTAATTAATTTACATTTAAATAGCCACATGTAGCTACTGGCTAGTGCCCCTTTGGGCTGTAAGTTCCATGAGACCAGCCATCAGATCCACCTTTTTTGTCCTCATATCCTTAACTCCTAGCAAAGGACCTGGCATAAAGTATGTGCTCAGTCTATATTTATTGATTGAAAGAATTAACAGCAGGAACTGAAAAGAGAACATTCCAAGAACTGCGTCTCTCCTCTTTCCCGCGAAGTTTCCAAGACTGTAAAATGGGGATAATAGTGGTTTCTCTCTCCTAGAATTATAATGAGAATTCACAAGTTAATATTTGTAAAGGTATTCATAGAATGTCAGCAACATAGCTGGTGTTATTTATACATGTGTTCATTAATTAAAATAAAAGCCATCTAGCCCTGTGAATTCGTCTTTTTTTGGAAAATGTATCAGTTATATTTAAATGTGGTTGCAAATGAAAGCAAATTTCGAAGTAATAATGGCTTAAAGGACACAGACGTTTTTTCTCTCTCTTGTAAAGGACTCTGGAGTGAGGAACTTCAGGGCTTTTAGGAGGGCTCCGGAAAGGTGTCAGGGATCCAGGCTCCTTTTATTTGTTGTTCCATTGACACCACTTCAGCACTGACTTCTTCCTCATGGTCCAAGATGGCTGCTCAAGCTCCAAGCTTCAAGGCCACATTCCAGCTAGCAAGAAGGAGAAAGAAAGGCAAAGGAACCCAGGTCTTCCTTTTAAGGACACTTTCCAGAAGCCACACGCACTTTTTATTTTTTAATTTATTTTTTAGAGAGAGAGAATGCAAGTGAGTGAGGGGCAGAGACAGAAAACCCCATGAGGTACAGAGAGAGAGGGAGAGAGAGAGGAGAGACAGTGCAGAGCCCAGAGCCAGACTCGAGTTCACCAGATGTGGGGCTGGAACTCATGAACCGCAAGATCATGACCTAAGCCAAAGTCTGACACTTAACTGACTGAGCCACCCAGGCACCTCTACGCAGCTGCTGCTGCTTCTTCTTCTTCTTCTTTTTGTTTTTATTTATTTATTTTGAGAGAGAGAGAGAGAGAGAGAGTACTAGCAGCAAGAGGGACAGAGAGGGAAGGAGAGAGAATCTCAAGCAGTCTCCATGTTCAGTGCAGGGCTCGATGTGGGGCTCAATCCCACAACTGTGAGATCATGACCTCAGCCATGACTGAGCCACCCAGGTGCTCCAAAACTACACACACTTCTATCCCATCAGCCAGAACTTGGGCACAAGGCCACACTGAGCTGCAAGGGAGGCTGGGAAATGTAGTCTTGCTTCTGAATGTCATAAAAATTGAGTTTTATTACTAAAGAAGACAAAGACAACAATGTTGATGGACACCCAGCAGTGTCTCCCCAGAATTCGATTTTCACCCTAGGATTTGGTTTTCAATGGCTGTTTCAGGCCTTTGTAGCTACTAATACAGGTGACAATGAGCATGTGTAGGGGGCTCTTCGACCCCACATTGGGCTTTCAATGTCTGCTACCTGATCTGAACACTAAAACCCTTGAACAGATGAGAAAATCAAAGCTTCACCAACTAGCTCAAGGTCCCACAGACTATAAATGATGGACCAACGACAAGAATCTAGGTCTGTGCAACTCCCAGTCCTTGGTCTGTTTTCCCATTCCATGACACTAGACTTCGAGGCCCGCAGCTCAGAGAAATGATCCCAAAAAGACCCAATGCCGGAGCAGAGCAAGACCTGAGGTCAGGAGAACCACCGGGCATGGGGCCCGGAGCCCTTCCTGCATCTGAGGGCAGCAGTCACAAATGGCTGCCACCCTCAGCGCCCCCAGTCTCACATCCGTCTGACAAGTATTTGCCGGGCATGCAGTACCCACCCAGCCAGGTACAAGGGGTTCAGGAGACCCAACAGAGAACAGGTCAAATAAGGTCCTGCACTTAGGTCTCTCACAAACCAGTCAGGGAAGACAGATGGTAAAGGAGTGAACAAATACATATATTTATACGTTCATGGATTTTTTTTGTTCATTTATTCAATAAATAATTGCTGAGTACCTACCACTAGACACTGGAGGTACCGTAGCGAACAAGGCACAGATGGTCTCCGCCAGTGTGGATCTTACACTCTAATGAGGGGTAAGGGCTGTCAAGAAGCAGATAAACAGGAATGTATTGTAATAAAATAAATACGTGTCAGGCCATGAATTTCATCTCTCTCGAAATAACGTAAATGGGATATGGCCATGGCTTCCTACCTTCCTTCAGTAAGGAAGTCAAGGAGACATTTAAGCCCAGTCCCCCCAAAATGAGAGGGACCCAGCTTTTGGAAAAGGGCAGGGAAAGCATTTCCAGGGCTCCTGGGTGGTTCAGTCGGTTAAGCGCCCTACTCTTGACTCTGCTCAGATCATGATCTCACGGTGGAATTGAGCCCCATATCGGGCTCTGCGCTGACAGCGCAGAGCCCGCCTGAGATTCTCTCTCTCCCTCTCTCTCCGCTCCTCCCCCACTCACTCTCTATCTCAAAAAATAAATAAATAAGCATTTTTTTAAGAAGAAAAGAAAAGCATTCTAGACAGAACAGTATGTGTGAGGGCCCTGAGCCAGGCCCTCTACTAAGTATTATGCATGGATCATCTCTTTAACAACCCCCCGCCAACAGGCAGGTGCAATTATTATCGTTAATAATAGATAAGGAGGCTCAAAGAGTAAGACAGACTCCTTGACCACATACATCCCTTAACTCCCTTAAGTGGCAGAGCTGGGATTCGAATGCAGGTTCACGTTACCACTAACGCCCATGCCTCGGTTGTGGTACTCAGCCCCTTTGTCCTCTCTCTAAGACAGGCAGGCATCGGCAGAGAACAGGAGCAGGTGGCAGGCACCTCCAGAGGAATGAAGGGACATTCTGGCCCTGCAGCCTAAGCCACAGGCACAGCCAAGAGCATCAGGGCCACTTTGCAGGACCATGCTGTGCAGACAGTCACTCCCTGGTCATGGAGCCAGATCCCAGATTTAAGCTGATTATCTTGTCACTGTCAATGAGAGGTCCCACCAAAGCCATTGAAGAATAGCATAGCTGGCCCTCTTTTCCCCTTTCCTTGAGAGAGGATCGTGGAGGCATCAGGACACAGTGGAGAAAGGGGTCGGGAAATGGGGAATAACACACAATAATAATAAGAGCGAAAACTTTGATGGTGCTTCCTGTGTGCCAGGTACTGTTCCAAGGGCTTCAAGTATGCTAACTTGCTTAATCTTCAAAACCATGCTATAACATCATCCCCATTTTACAGGTGAGGAAACCGAGGCCCAGAGGGTCCCATAACTTACCTAAGATGACACAGCTAATAAGTTTATTTATTTCTGAGAGAGAGAGAGAGCAGGAACTGGGGAAGGGGCAGAGAGAGGGAGACAGAATCCAAAGTAGGCTCCAGGTTCTGAGCTGTCAGCACAGAGCCCAATGAGGGGCTTGAACCCACAAACCGTGAGATCATGACCTGAGCCAAAGTCAGATGCTCAACCGACTGAGCCACCCCGGCGCCCCACAGCTAAAAAGTGGCAGAGTGGGGATTTGAACCCAGGTGGCTGACTCCTGAGCTTACACTTGTTTAAACCCTTCTATTGGAAAATAAGACAAACAGGGGCGCCTGGGTGGCTCCGTCCATTAAGTGTCGAACTCTTGATTTTGGCTCAGGTCAGGATCTCATGGTTCGTGAGTTGGAGCCCTGCGTCAGGCTCTGTGCTGACAGCGTGGAGCCTGCGTCTCCGTTTCCCTCTCTCTCTGCTCCTCCTCTACTCGTGATCTCTCCCTCTCTCTCTCAAAAATAAATAAACATTAAAAAAAAGAAAAGAAAAGAAGACACACAGAAAAACCTACAGAACAAGTGTATAAATTAGTGAAATGAAGTATTATGAGGCAAACACCCTTGTATGTACCACACAGGTCAAGAAACAGAAATTTGCCAGAAACTCCAGAAGCCCCTGTCTGTGCTCCCCACTCAGGCACAGCCCCCTCCTGGCCTCTCTCTAAAATCAAACATTATTCGGACCTTTATAGGAAGAATTCCCCATGTTTGTCCACGATGTTTTCTCCTGAGTGTATCCCTGGACACTGTTGGTTAGTCAGGCCCATCTTTAAGTTTTGTGTTTGTTTTGTTTTTGTTTTGTTTTGGGCGGGGGGGAGAAAGAGAGAGAGAGAGAGAGAGAGAGAATCTGAAGCAGGCTCTGCACTGTCAGTGCAGCTTGAATTCAAGAACCCTGAGATCATGACCTGAGCTGAGATCAAGAGTCAGGCGCTTTACTGACACCCAGGTGCCCTAAGTCAGGCCCATCTTTAAACTTGGTACCTTTTAGTCTGTAAGTTCTCCCTCCACCCCTTTCTTTTTCTTGTAATGTATCTGTTGAAGAGCTTCAGTCGTTTGAGCAGGGGAGTTTCCCAGCCTGGATATCGCTGGTGGAAGATAGTCACAGTACAGCTCAGCATGTTACCCTGTTCTCTGAGTTTCCTGCCAGCTGCCTGCTGGATCTAGAGGCTCGGACTCAGGTTCTATCTTTCTGGCAAGGCCCGGGGAGGGAGGGGGCGGAGGGAGCTGGTATTCTTCCATCAGGGGCATGGAAGGTCTGTTTTCCTCTGTCTTTTGATCAGAGCCCATGCTATTAACCACATTGCTAATAGGGATGCTTCCCGGGTGTCCTCAGCTGCTCCGTGATTTGCTCCGCCCTCTGGACATATCTGTCTCCAAAAGCAAGCCTTTTATAGGCACCACGGTTTCTGCTGCTCCGAGCCCAGCTGACACACGAAGGCAGCCCCTCAAAGGTCCTACCTGAGCTTCTCCACATCCCAGTGGCAGTGATGGATGGGGCCCTGCCTCCCTGATGAGCCTCATCTCTGTCTCTCCTCCCTCCAGCCCAGTCCACCAGGCAGATAGAGTTCTGCTTCGTTTCCCAAAAGATCTGTGTTCTCCCTTACCTCTGGGCCCTTGTTCGTGCTGTTCCCTCAACCAGAAACACTCTTCCCCTTACCTCCTCTGACCAAGCATGGCAGATTCTTCAGGTCCTAGCAAATCTGTCCCTTCCACCCTCTCCCCACCCTGCCGGACTGGATTGGGTACCTTTCACATACCCTCCTCACTTCTAGGCTGACCTCGTAAGTAACCTAGTAAGCAGCACTGATGCCACATTATACGTGTCTGTTTTCTCTTTTTTTTTTTTTTTTTTTTTTTTTTTTTTTTGATGTTTATTTGTATTTGAGAGAGAGAGGAGCAGGGGAGGGGCAGAGAGAGAGGGAGACAGAATCTGAAGTGGGGCTCCAACCCAGGAACCGTGAGATCATGACTTGAGCCGAAGTCTGACGCTTAACCGACTGAACCACCCAGGTGCCCCAACTTGTCTGTTTTCTTAACTGTGTGCCCTGCTAGAGACAGGGACCCTGACACCGGACCTGGCACATGGTAGGTGCACAGTTAAGTATCTGTTGAGCACATGCATGCATGAATTAATGAATTGGAGTTTACAAGTCATAAGGAGGCAAATCTAAGCTCAGATTTAAGGACCTTTCAGACAATGAGAGCCCTTCTAAGATGACACAGCCCCGGCTCCCACTAGGGGAGGTAATTAAGCATTTGCGTGGTGCAGGTCACAGAAAGAACTCCCACCTGGGTTAGGATCCATCTAGAAAAATGAGTCCTCGTTCTTCGAATGCAGCAGAACCTTTTCTTCAAACAATCTAGGAACCACTAAATATAAGACAAGTTCCAGAAGGGGAGTTTGAGTTTCAGCACTGGAGGAGACAGAAGTCCAGGCCCAGGGCTTCCCCTCGTCCTGAGCACTAGAGTATCTCTGAACACTGGCCTAGCTATATATTCAAGTCGCTTTCATAGCCACTCTGTCTGTGATTAGGAGGCCACCACACCAGGGAAAGAAGTGTTCTAGATGACACCCTAACTCTACTTTCTTCCCTCTCTGGTGCCACCAAGGGCTCGTCCTATCAGCTGACAGAGATGCCCACAGGAGCCCTCTCTCTATGAACTGCTCCTCTGGCCCTCCAAGGCCATTGCACTTCTGCAACCATGTAGATCTGAGGTCTCTGGGCAGAGCCAAGTCAATACAAAAGCAGGCAGAACCGCAGGCCTGCCTTGCGGGGCGCAGAGCCAAGGGCTTAGTCTCAGAATTGGATTATGAGAGTGAATTTGGAACTCCCAGCCCCCCTGGCCTCAGGGACATGGGGGATTACCCAGGCCTCTGGAGGGGGAGGGGGGCGCCCTCAGTCCTTCCCACATTCCCTGCCAAGTCTGAGAACAAGGATCTTGCCTCTGCCGCAGCACACAGGCAGGGGCAGGGATTTCCCACCCACCACCCACTTCCAGCTTTTAGCCCACAGCCTCCTCCACCCACGCTGCCTGGGAACACACTTGCCTCCCCCCCCCCCCCCACCCCCCCACCCCATGTCTGGGACTTAACAGCAGTGTTACTCAAATTGCGGTCCTCCAACAAGAACATCCCCTGGGAGCTTATTAGAGATGCAAATTCATGGACCCCACTTCAGACTCTGAATCAGAAGCACTAGGGTGGGGCCCAGATCTGTGGCTTAACAAAATCTCCAGGCGATTCTTACATGCTAAAGTTTGAGAACCACAAGCTTGAAGTATACAGGTCCACCCTACACACCTGTCCAATCATGTCCTCACCCTGTCAAAGCTTCTGGGCAACTTCCACCCACTAACATCCCCTTGGACTCCTTCAACCCTTCAGTGACAGAAATTAATGACAGTGATTACAAACGGATCCTGTGTAATACTGCCATGCTGGGCACTCCCACGGCAGTTATATGAATAGCAGCCCCTGGAGGGACGCAACGCAATGCCCTAAGAGCACTTACTGGGGATTTTATTATCCTTTATTATTCCCCTGTCACATAGGAGGAAACTGAGGCTCAGAGAGGGGACATGACTGGCCCAAAGCCACACAGCAAGTAAACAACTATACTCTCCAGCTTCCAATGCTGCAGAGCAGCATTTCGACATCTGTTTTACGCACACACTGGGATTTCCTTCGTGGCAAACACCTTGTCATCACTTCCGCAGGAAAGCCTCTCCTGACCTCCCCAGACTACACCAAGCCTTCTTATTATACCCTACCACGGATCCCTGCTTTTTTGCTTAATAAAAGCATCACAATTTGTAACCACGTGGTGAAGTATTTCATGTCTGTCTCCCCACCAGCACGGATGCTCCAGGAAGACAGGAAGGGGACAGACCCTGCTAGATGCTTACCCAATTTCTAGTCTCCTTTTCTTTCAGAGCCTGACTTTGTTTGGGGCAACTGGTACCCAGCTAAATCACTATATCCCCCAGGCTCCCCTTCAGCTAGAGGCATAAGGTCCCGGCTTCTGAGATGAGAAGGGGTACCTGATGGTGCTCAATAAATGCATGTTGAATACAAGACTGTTCAGCCAGCTCTGGGCATGCGGTCAGTACTCAGGAAATGTGTGCCATCTGCACGGGCCCAAGAAGCAAAGACCCCCACAGCTGCCCTTGTCTTGGAAATATTTTAATTGGTTCTGAGAGAACAGGGCTGTGGCGAGCTGGGACGGGCACAGAGCTAAGGAGGGCGGCGAGAGGCTTTGCCCTGGGGCGGACATGCTGTGCGGGGGCGGGGGTGGGGGGGGGGG